TAGTTCCAAAAATGTTTTGCTTTATGAGTATTGTTTCATATGACCAACTTGATCAAAAATCTCTACCTAGAGTAGTTTTAACTCTGGGAAAATTTGTTTTTTGATAAAACGTCCTAGCCAGGTGCAGTGGCTCACGCCTGTAATTCCAGCACTTTGGGAGGCCAAGGAGGGCGGATTGCTTGAGCTCAAGAGTTCAAGACTAGCCTGGGCAACACAATGAAACCATGTCTCTACAAAAAAAAATAAAAAATATATATATATGTATGTATATATGTATATTTTATATATACACACAGAATATACCCATATTCAGAAAAAAAAATACACACACACACACACACACACACACAGAAAAATTAGCTGGGCCTGGTGGTGTGTGTCTGTAGTCCCAGCTACTTGGGAGGCTGAGGTAGGAGGATCACCTGAGCCTGGGAGGTCGAGGCTACAGTGAGCCATGATTGCACCTGTGCACTCCAGCTATCAACAAAGTGAGACCTTATTTCTTTTTTTTTTTTTTTTTTTTGAGACGAAGTCTCGCTCTGTCGCCCAGGCTGGAGTGCAGTGGCCGGATCCCAGCTCACTGCAAGCTCCGCCTCCCGGGTTCCCGCCATTCTCCTGCCTCAGCCTCCCGAGTAGCTGAGACTACAGGCGCCCACCACCTCGCCTCGCTAGTTTTTTGTATTTTTTTAGTAGAGACAGGGTTTCACCGTGTTAGCCAGGATGGTCTCGATCTCCTGACCTCGTGATCCGCCCGCCTCGGCCTCCCAAAGTGCTGGGATTACAGGCTTGAGCCACTGAGCCCGGCCTTCCAACATCTTTTGAATTCATTCTCTTTGAACATTTTTATTTTCATTGCCTCATACCAGGCCTTTATTTTCTTACTCAGTTTACTATAAAAGCACAAGCTTCTTTCTTGTAATGGTCAAGTGGTCTACTAAACCAAAGCGCTAACCGAGTAGCTGGAATTACAGGCAGTTCTGCCTCTGTCCGGCTTTGTGACTTCCACCACATTAGATCTGTTTCCTCCTTGTAAAATGGGGCGGGAATAGAGGCTGGACCTGGGAGGTGTGGCTGATGATCGTCTCCGACTCGCTAAGTCGCGGAGTCACAAACGTGGCGGAAAGCAAGCCCCCACTTTTTGGGAAGAGTAGGACGAGGGGCGGGGCTGCAGCGAGACCCACTAGTTTCGCTTTCCAGGGGAGGCAGCGGCCGGTAGCTGCTGCTGTGGGCGGCGCCCCCGGCATGGAGTCTCCTTCCTGCCCTCGCAGGCTCCGGCGCCCCAGCGAAACGCTCCGACCGCTCCCCTCTCCCAACACTCTGGTTCCCTGGCCGCCTGCGGGGACGCGGTTGGCGGCGACACCGGAGGGGGGTGGGTCAGGAAGTGGGGGCGCGGCGGCCAGGAGCGGGCCCCGGGTGGCCGAGGGGTTCGGCGACGCGGAGGGAGGGACGCTCCGGGCCGCGCGGGAGCCGGAGGGCGCCACGGCCTCCGCAGAGACGATGGCGGAGGAAGAAGGTGACTGCCGCGGGGTCCAGCGCGCCCACGGCTGCCTGTGGTTTCGGGAAGGAGGGGCGGGGGCGCTGGAGGTGTGGGCTGGAGCTGCCGGTGGCCGCGGTGGCGGCCGCACGGGGAGGGCGGGAAGGAGCGCGGCGCCCAGGAGAGGGCTGCGGAGAAATTCAGGAGAGCGGAGCGAATGGCTCGAAGTTTTGTCGGCCGAATTAGGAAGCAAAGGCGGAGCTGAAAGTTGGGAATCTGTAGCAGGAGAGAAAGCTGTGCAGGGAGTGGTTGGGAGGGAGGGAGGGTCCTGAGCAGATTTTTGGTGAAGTGGGGGGCGCAGTTTGGTTTCGAAGATGCAGGTTTAGGTACTGAGTGCATATTTGAATGTGGTCGTTGTTTCACTCAAGGCCCCTCATTCGGAGGGCGATTTTTAAAGGGCTGTGGGTATTGACAAACCTAGAGGCACAGGGGGTGAGGGGACATTCACCACGGGGATAAAGAGGCAGGGATTTGGGATAAACATGGCATGATGAATTGGGAATGGGTGAACACGCAGAAACTGAAGAAAGCCAAGTTCACTTAGGTTTAGAGGAAAATGGTAAAGAGCAGAGCCATCTAAGTATTATAGTTTTGGGAGCTGATGAGGCCAGGAGGCCTTTGAGGGTCAAAGTGGGTGAGTAGAGACGGGGTTTATCCATGTTGGTCAGGCTGGTCTCGAACTCCAGACCTTAGGTGATCCGCCCACCTCGGCCTCCCGGAGTGCTGGGATTACAGGCGTGAGCCACCGCGCCCGGTCGACTCAAGCCTTTTTGAACCAAGAGTACAAGGAAGGAGTTTAAAGAATTTAGCGGAAAGCAGTTTTTAAAAATTAAGCATAAGAAGTGTTTACTGATCTGTGACTTGCTGGCCTGTCCCTATGCAGGCTTGGTTCATATTTGCTTCCTCTTGAGTTTTCAGAGTGTTAAAGCTGGTCTGAATTTAAGACATTCTAACTTTCAAAACCAAAGCTGTTTGTCGTTGGTGAGAAAGAATGTAATTCCACTTGTTTCCTTGGTTCTGTCTGTGGTTACAGTATATTATCATTTGAAATATTTCTTGATGTATTTTTCTTTTCTAATTGCAAATTTATGGAGGCTGGTTGATACACTAGCTTGCATGTTCCTATGAGTACATTCATGCTTAACTTAAAGCATTAAAAAAGTTAATACTGCATAAAAAAATCAATACTACAATACTGAAAGCCTTTAATACATCATGCAAAATGAAAAATTATTTTAGACTATGGTTGTACTTAAATAGATCTGTGGAGCCAATATTAAAAGATTGTACTGTTTTGTAAATTTTACTTACGTGATATAAAATGATAAATGGGCTGGGCATGGTGGCTCATGCCTGTAGTCCCAGCACTTTGGGAGGCCAGGGTGAGTGGATCACTTGAAGTCAGGAGTTCAAGACCAACCTGGCTAACACAGTGAAACCCCATCTCTACTAAAAATACAAAAATTAGCCGAGTGGCGAACATCTGTAGTTCCAGCTACTCAGGAGGCTGAGGCAGGAGAATCACTTGAACCCAGGAGGCTGAGGTTGCTGTGAACCGAGATTGCACCATTGCACTCCAGCCTGGGTGACAGAGCGAGACTCCATCTCAAAAAAAACCAAAATTAAGGCCGGGCACAGTGGCTCACACCTGTAATCCTAACACTTTGGGAGGCCAAGGCGGGCAGATCACGAGGTCAGGAGTTTGAGACCAGTCTGGCCAATATGGTGAAACCCTGACTCTACTAAAAAATACAAAAATTAGTCGGGCGTGGTGGCGCACGCCTGTAGTCCCAGCTACCTGGGAGGCTGAGGCAAGAGAATTGCTGGAACTCAGGAGGCTGAGGTTGCAGTGAGCTGAGATCTCCCCACTGCACTCCAGCCTGGGTGACAGAGCGAGACTCCCTTTCAAAAATAAAATAAATAAAATGATAAATGATTTTTGGTTGTAGAATTACATATAATTCAAAAACAGTTAAATACATCTTATATGGGACAATTAATGGGTTGCAGTTTATTAAAATACTGCTTATATTCAACACATTTTTAATTCCATAAATATTTGTGTTCATACTCTATTAGATGCAAGGATATAATAGTCAGCAATGAATGAGTAATTAAATTTTCATTTATTATAATGCTAGTAATAATATATAGCACACCTGTCTGTCTATATGCCAGGCATTCTGAATGTTTTTTGTTTATTTGTCACTCTATAGTTTTTTCCCCAAAAATTCATATTATCTTTTATTCGCTGTGTTAAAATTAGACTAAATAGTCTGTGTATTTTACTTGTATCCAGGTGTTCTCCATGTCCCATCTTATTTACAATTCACATTCGCTTGGATCCTCTTCATTGTCCAAGTAAATACTCTGGGAATCTGGTTTAAAAAAAATGTCTTCCTTGATGCAGTAGAGGGCCAGGGTGTTTATATTTATGCTTTCTGAAAGCATTGTTAGAGCAAAGAAAGTAATGACAACCTTGAATAGAGCAGTATTAACATTTCATTTGGAAACTGCTATGTCTAGCCTGCGTGGACATTTGAAAGCCTGTTTGTAGCCCTACTATTTCATATGAAGATGACTGGACTGAAGTCTGAAATAGCAGGTTACTTTTGTGGATGTGTAATCATCTTCATTTAGTTTGACTTTTTCTTTACAATGCTAAAAATATAAGATAGTGAAAAGGAGTGGCTGGACATCGTGGCTCACGCCTGTAATCCCAGCACTTTGGGAGGCTGAGGCGGGCGAATCACGAGGTCAGGAGTTCGAGGCCAGCCTGGCCAACGTGATGAAACCCCCGTCTCTACTCAAAATACAAAAAATTAGCTGGGCGTAGTGGCAGACACCTGTAATCCCAGCTACTTGGGAGGCTGAGGCAGGAGAATTGCCTGAACCCGGGAGGCGGAGGTTGCAATGAGCTGGCATGGCGCCACTGCACTGCAGCCTGGGCAAAAAGAGTAAAACTCCGTCTCAAAAAAAAAAAAAAAAAAAAAAAGATAGTAAAAAGGAAGCTTGAATTACATCCCAGAGCTTTCCGGTCAGAACTGATAATCTCATTTGTCAATTGCTTTGACCTTTGCTTTTTTCCACCTAGAGATGTGTGGCTTTGTTTTTCCATTATGAAATTATATGGAAAGTTAGCTTTAGGGATAAGGTTGAAGAGATGAGCTAAAATGAATACTGTATTTATCAAGTCATACTTTTCACTCTTACAGTTTAATGCCACTAAAATTGGTATGTCTTAAAATCAGTACATGCATTCAATGTGATAGTGTGGTTTTTTTTTCCCCCTTGAAAACCTATTGAGTGGTATCTTCAAATATATGGCATCTTAGAATCAGGAAAATATAATATTATAGATTTTTTATAGATTACATATTTGTATGGTCCTTGATCATTGCTAATATAAATTCTTGACAGGTGATAGTTGAGAGTTGTATACTTCAGAAATTACTTGAAAATCTATGCAAAATTTTTGTGTAAGTTGTACTTTTATAAACAAAATTCATTTATGGGCACAAAGAGAACATGTTTAATTAAAGTCCTGTAAAGTGATTTATTTGATAAAGAACATTTTTAAAAAGGAAAATGATAGTGTTTTGTAAGAACACGTTTTATGTGACTATTCCTCTCCCAATTTATCACTAAGTGTATATTTTTAGACTCTAATGGAAAAGACCCACTTACCTAGCCCATTGGTCACATATAGTGTATCTGTTGACTATCTCAATAGATTTGTTAATTTTATTTCTGAAATTATACAATTAAATGTTTTAAAGTCCAGTGCTGTTATGTGATTAATCATGCAGGTGTACCTACAAAGGAAGGTTCTTGTGGTTATATTTTCCCCTTGTATTCTTTTAAAATAAAATTAAAGGCCGGGCACGGTGGCTCAAGCCTGTAATCCCAGCACTTGGGAGGCCGAGACGGGCGGATCACGAGGTCAGGAGATCGAGACCATCCTGGCTAACACGGTGAAACCCCGTCTCTACTAGAAAGACAAAAAACTAGCCGGGCGAGGTGGCAGGCGCATGTAGTCCCAGCTACTTGGGAGGCTGAGGCAGGGGAATGGCATAAACCTGGGAGGCGGAGCTTGCAGTGAGCTGAGATCCGGCCACTGCACTCCAGCCTGGGCGACAGTGAGACTCCGTCTCAAAAAAAAAAAAATTAAATTAAATTAAATTAAAAACAATAATTTGCTTTTGAAGACTTTATTTGATTTTGCATAAATATTCATTCTTGATGACTGCTTCTAACTTCTACTTTAACCCAGAGCAGGGGAATATTAAAGAGGCATAATGAGGAAGGAATATAGTGATATTTACTAATTGACCTGGATTTATATGTATAAATACTCAAAGTCTGGGGTACATTTTTCTAATAATGCCATTTTTTGTTTTTTTGTTTTGTTTCATTTTGTTTTTGAGACAGAGTCTCCCTCTGTCACCCAGGCTAGAGTGCAGTGGCGCAATCTCGGGTCACTGCAACTCCACCTACTGGGTTCAAGTGATTCTCCTGCCTCAGCCTCCTGAGTAGCTGGGATTACAAGAGCGCACCACCACACCCGGCTAATACTTGTATTTTTAGTAGAGACAGGGTTTCACCATGTTGACCAGGCTGGTCTTGAACTCCTGACCCCAGGTAATCCACCCACCTTGGCCTCCCAAAGTGTTGGGATTACAGGCGTGAGCCACCATGTCCAGCCTAATAATGTCATTTTAAAATATTTTCATTGATTTCACTACTTAACATGACTACAGAATAAATGGTAGTATAGAAATGAGTAAACATTAGATTCATCAGTCTGAATCCGTTAAATGTACAGCTTTTTTTCTCACTATGCTAGTGTTTAAAGATATTTTAGTGAGCATGTAAGTTTGCTATGAAGCTATTTTAAAATATGTTTATTTTATTCATTTTCCACAGTAAAACTAAGAACATACATCTGATCAGCAGCAACTGATTCGTTTCTCCTTCTTTGACTTCTATGTTTATTTTCACATTTCATAGCCTGAAGTTATTACTAAGAGAAAGGAAAAAACTGTCTTCCACTTCCATGAGAAAGATAAATTATTGTACCACTTTATAACTTGGCAGGAACACTCTGTACTTATAGTATCGTAATCTATCCCACAAGATGATTAATTCTAGGGAGGAAAAGTATAAATTGTACATAGTACATTCCTGTTTAACTTGGAGTTTAGTTTACTATTTTGGAGGTAACTTCTGCATCAGGTTTTCTAAAACTGGAGCTAGAAGAGGAAGTTAGTCTAATCCTGGGAAATTATTTTGAGACCTTCTCATATATAAGTATCTTTGTAGGTTCAGCCTATTTTCTTTTTTTTTTTTTTTTTTTTTTTTTTTTTTTTTTTTTTTTTTTTTTTGAGACGGAGTCTCGCCCTGTCACCCAGGCTGGAGTGCGGTGGCCGGATCTCTGCTCACTGCAAGCTCCGCCTCCTGGGTTTACGCCATTCTCCTGCCTCAGCCTCCCAAGTAGCTGGGACTACAGGCGCTCACCACCTCGCCCGGCTAGTTTTTTGTATTGTTTTAGTAGAGACGGGGTTTCACCGTGTTAGCCAGGATGGTCTCGATCTCCTGACCTCGTGATCCGCCCGTCTCGGCCTCCCAAAGTGCTGGGATTACAGGCTTGAGCCACCGCGCCCGGCCAGTTCAGCCTATTTTCTAATCCCTAAATCTAAAAGCCTGTACAATGCTAATGATAACACAGCACTGAAATTCTGCAGAGCTTTCAGGGTTAAACAAAGAAGTGTAGTTTATGATGAATGTGTTATGTTTTGATTTTTACAAAACACTTAAACCATGAGTTATGCATTTGATACTTTAAGGTAACTAGAATTATGAGCTGAATAACACCTTGACCCTAATTTGGAAAAGAGCTTACTTATTTTGGGATGTTTTGAAAATTGCATCATCTTGGGAGAAGAGCGCATTGGTTTACTACTAGGATTGTCAAAACACAAATTGGGCAGTGGAACTTAAAATTGTCTTTTTTTTTGGACAAAAGATTTTGCAGGGGTGCCAAAATAATTATGAAAAGGTTATCTTTGATGCTAATAGGTCTTAGTGGTACTTTTGCTTTAGAATAATAAAGGTTAATTGGCTCAGGATACAGATCAAAATAATTTTATACACACATTGCAATAATGTCTTAAATATTTTAAGGACCACCTGTAGAGCTGCGCCAAAGAAAAAAGCCAAAGTCTTCAGAAAATAAGGAATCTGCCAAAGAAGAGAAAATCAATGACATTCCAGCTCCTGAAAGAGTTCCAAAACGTAAGTTAGACTTGGAATTTGTGCTACTACAAAAATACTTTACGCTAGAGAGTATATTAATATTTTAAATATACGTATTTTGAGATTATGTATATGCTCAGCTTTCGCTAGGTTTTGAACAACCCCCAAATCTCACTGGCTTATGACAAACATTTATTTCTAATTAATATTACATGTTATGGCTGCAGTTTGGCTGTCATAATTTTATGTGTTGTAAGGAATAGTCCCTATTTGGGAAAAATTTTTCTTGTGATGTAGGAAAAGAGGAGACAGAATCATGCAATGCCTCTTAAAGTTTCTGCTGACCTAGCACACTATCACTTGTACGCACCTTTTATTGACCCAAGCAAGTCATATAATCAGTTTAGACGATGGGATATGAAGTATATTTTCATTACGGGGAAGTGTTCCAGGTCCACATGGTAGTGGGCAGGGATATATAATCTTTTTACTGGGAAGGAGAAAATAGTTGTGAATAATAATATAGTTTACCACATCCTGTCCTTGTGATTTATTTCCCTCCCTCAGACAAAATACACTTACTTTTTCCCACATCCTAAGACTCTGTCTTATCTAGTCACAGCCTTCATCCTGAACCCAAGGGCTTATCCACATCAGGGCCAGCTATGACTCATTCTAATCCAGAGGTCTATGAACTAAACAGACAGGTTATCTATTTTGTGTCAGGGGTTCCCAAGACCACCCCCGTGTTTGGTTATTAGCTGGAAGGACTCACAAGTTTCAGAATGAAGTTGTATTTACATCTATGATTGATTGATTGATTGATTTTTGAGACAGAGTCTCGCTCTGTCACCCAGGCTGGAGTTCAGTGGCATGATCTCAGCTCACTGCAACCTCCGCCTTCTGGGTTCAAGCAGTTCTCCTGCCTCAGCCTCCTGAGTAGCTCACGCCACCATGCCTGGCTAATTTTTGTATTTTTGGTAGAGACAAGATTTCCCCATGTTGGCCAGTCTGGTCTCGAACTCCTGACCTCAAGTGATCCACGTACCTCAGCCTCTCAAAGTGCTGAGATTATAGGCATGAGCCACCGTGCCCAGCCTACGGCTATGATTTATTATAGCAAATAATATAAAACAAAATCAGCAAAGCGAAGAGACCTATTGTGGTAAAATCTGCAAGAAACCAGGCATAGGCTTCCAAATTTCCACTGCAGTAGAGTCACACAGGATGGGCCTGATTCCTTCAGCATCAAATTGTGACATTTGTAAAGTTTTATCTACCAGGGAAGCTCATTAGTGATTCAGTGCTCAGGGTTTTTATTGGGGGCTAGTCATGTAGGTATCCTCTGCCTACCATGTACCAAAATTCTTGACTCCCAGAAAGAAATCATAAACTACATTATTTGTACAAAGAGGATAGGCACTGTTATCAGTTAGAGAATGGTGGGAACTCTCCTGAAATTGAAGTTCCTAGATGCCAGCCAAGACAGCCTACCTTGCAAGCAGGGCTTTCTTTTTTTCTTTTTTCTTTTTTTTTTCTTTCTTGAGACAGAGTCTCACCCTGCCACCCAGGCAGGAGTGCCATGGTGCAGTCTCTGCTTACTGCAACCTCCACCTTCTGGGTTCAAGCAATTCTTGTGCCTCAGCCTCCCAAGTAGCTGGGATTATAGGCATGTGCCACCACACTTGGTTAATTTTTGTGCTTTTAGTAGAAATGGGGTTTCACCATGTTGGCCAGGCTGGTCAACTCCTGACCTCAGGTGATCAGCCTGCAAGCAGGCCCTTCTCAGGAAAGTGTTCTCAGACCTGCTGTGTTAACTCTTTTCTGCACACCCCCCCGCTCAGTATACATTGTTGGACAGGGACAGGATATCCCCTTACTCTGGGAGAAGGAATCTGTTGTGTTTATGCCCCAGTTGTGTTCCTGGGGAATTGTTTCCCAGTTCATTGTTCTCCATGGTCCTTGATTTTACACTCTGGAGATCTTTTCTCTTCCATTTCCTTCTATAACCATATCTAAAGATGGGTTTGGAGAATGTATCATCCTTAAGGGCTAAACAGCTTTCTCATACTGCTTCCTCTGCACTGGAAGTTGAGGCCTGTATATAAATTTGCTCAAGATAAAGGCTGTGGGTAATAGTTGAGGGGCTGGCTACAAGAAAACTATATTTGGGAGCTGGAAAAATGAAGATCTATATTACGTCATGACAAAACATTTGATGATACTGTTTCCTGTGAATAGTTGACAATACTATTTTTTTCTATCATTTTAGGTAATGAGATTGCAAAACAGAATGTTACTAGAGTGCCTTTGGTATTAACAGCTGCATTTGACTACAGGAAAGAGATCTGAGTTTAGAATGGAATTGGTCTATTTGTAAGTGGGAATGAAGAAGAAAATAGAGAATTCCAAAATTCGGGGACTTGTAATGTTGAAGTGAGAACAGTTTATTAACCAGGCAAGGTGGCTCACGCCAGTAATCCCAGCACTTTGGGAAGCTGAGGCAGAGGATTGCTTGAGGTTAGAAGTTCAGGACCATCCTGGACAACATAGTGAGACCCTGTCTTTATTTAAAAAAGAAAAGAAAAGAAAAACCCGTTTGTCTTTTTCAACCAATAAAAGTTAAAATCACGAAATGGGAGGCCGGGTACGGTGGCTCAAGCCTGTAATAACAGCACTTTGGGAGGCTAAGGCGGGCGAATCACGAGGTCAGGAGATTGAGGCCATCCTGGCTAACGTGGTGAAACCCGTCTCTACTAAAACAATACAAAAAATTAGCCGGGCATGGTGGCGGGCGCCTGTAGTCCCAGCTTCTTGGGAGGCTGAGACAGGAGAATCGCTTGAACCTGGGAGGCGGAGGTTGCAACGAGCCGAGATTGTGCCACTGCACTCCAGCCTGGGTGACAGAGCGAGACTCCGTCTCAAAAAAAAAAAAAAAAAGAGAGAAATGCTTTGAGTAACAAAGGCTGATTAAGATGAGTCCTTAGTGCAAAGGTCAAATCAAGGGCATAGCTATTGTACAATTTGTTAAAATGTGTGAATAAATTAAGGTAGTTCCTACTAAATCTTGTTGGACACAGGACTTAGAAAAAAAGAACTAAAGCTGTTGGCCCACAAAAGTTTAGTAAACTCAAACTATGTATAATGAAGCCTTTGAGAAGGCATGAAAAGATGTGTAATTTAGCCTTTGAGAGTGGCATATCTAGAATAATTTGTAGCTATAGTTACTGGAACATGGAGCTGACTGAAATCAAGTAGGTAAATCAATAAAATTTTTATTTTCTTTGCAAAATGAGTGATTTAATTGTTTAAAAGTGAAGTATAATTAGCATACAATTAAATGCACAGATTCTTGGTTGTTTAATTAAATGCATTTTGAAATGTGAATGCAGGCAAAACAAACTATAGAACATTACCGTTATCTCAGAAAGTTTCCTTGTACCTCATTCCTATTGTTTTGATAGTTATCACTACTGAATAATTTCACATGTTCTAGAACTTCATTATAAGTGGAATCATACATGCTTCAGTGTCCAAATTCTTTCATTCAGCTCGGTATGTTATCTTTGAAAAATGTAATATTTTGTGGCTGGGTGCGTTGGCTCACGCTTGTTAGCCATGCGTATAATCCTAGCATGTTGGGAGGCCGAGGCAGGAGGTTTGCTTGAGTGCAGGAGTTTGAGACCAGCCTGAGCAACAAGGCGAAACCCCATCTCTACAAAAAATATAAAAATTAGCTAGGCATGGTGGCACGTGCTTGTAGTTTCAGCTACTTGGGAGGCTGAGGTGGAAGGATCACTTAAGCCCATGAGATTGAGGCTCTGGTGAGCCATGATCATGCCACTGCACTCTAGTCTGGCTGACTGAATGACACCCTATTTCATAAAAATAAAAAATAAAAATATCATTTTGAGATTCATCCATGTTGTATATCTCAATAGTTCATTCTCCTTTATTATTAAGTATATTCCAGTGTTTGAATATATAGTCATGTGTTGCTTAATGACAGGGATATGTTCTGAGAAATGCACCATTAGGTGATTTTGTCATATTCACACAAACTAGACGGTACAGCCTACTACACACCTAGGCTATGTAGTATAGCCTATTCCTCCTAGGCTACAAACCTGTACAGTATGTTACTATACTGAATACTGTAGGCAGTTGTAACACAATGGTAAGCATTTGTGTATCTAAATATATCTAAACATCAAAAAGTACAGTAAAAATATGGTATTACAATCTTATAGGGCCACCATCATATATGCAGTCCATTGTTGACTGAAATGTCATTGTGCAGGGCATGACTATACCATAATTGTTTATCCCTGTTCCTCTTGTTGGACATTTAGGTTGTTTCTAGTATTTAGTTGTTATGAATAAGAATGCTATGAACATTCCTGTACTGGTTTCCTTGAACATATGTTTTCATTTCTGTTAGGTAAATACATAGAAGAATTGCTAGTTAAGCTTTCGAGAGAGCGTACTGTTGAACTGCCAGCCTAGATTCAAAATAACTCTTAACTCTTCAGGTCTTGAAATAAATGACATTTGAGCCCCTAACTACAGATTGAGTAAACTGCTCTCAGGTTCTCTCCTGAGAAGGAGTGTGTTTTGCTTAGGAGAGAAATGAATATTGTGTATTAAAAATATTTTGGTCAGGAGCGGTGGCTCACACCAGTAATCCCAGCACTTTGGGAGGCTGAGACGGGCATATCACTTGAGGTCAGGAGTTTGAGACCAGCCTGGCCAACATGGCGAAACCCTGTCTCTACTGAAAAAAAAAGAAAAGAAAAAAAAAAGCCGAATGTAGCAGTGCATGCCTGTAGTTCTAGCTACTGGGGAGGCTGAGGCATGAGAATCACTTGAACTCGGGAGGTGGAGGTTGCAGTGAACCAAGATTGCGCCGCTGCACTCCAGCCTGGGTGACAGAGGAGACTCCATCACAAAAAACAAACAAACAAAAAATGTAAGCTTAGGCAATATAGTGAGACTTCATCTCTATAAAAAATAAAAAATAAAAAAAATTAGCCAATCGTGGTGGTGCACACCTATAGTCCCAGCTTCTTGGGAGGCTGAAACACAAGAATTGCTTAAATCCAGGAGGTGGAGATTGCAGTGAACCGAGAATGTGCCACTGCACTCTAGCCTGGGCAACAGGGGAGACTCCAAAAAAAAAAAAGTTGAAGGCTAGGCAATATAGTGAGACCTCATCTCCACCAAAAAAAAAAAAAAAAAAAAAAATTAGCTGAGAATGTGGTGGTGCATGCCTGTCTGTAGTCCCAGCTACTTGGGAGGCTGAGGTAGGAGGATTGCTTAAGCCTGAGAAGTGGTGTTTGCAGTGAACCGAGATCGCGCCACTGCACTCCAGCCTGGGCAATACAGCAAGACTCTGTCTCAAAAAAAAAAAAAAAATTTAAATTTGAAAAATACAATGTAAGAAAGAAAATTAAATAAGTCTAGAAATATCAACTACAAAATAGTATTTCCTCCCCAACTACAAAAATATATTTTCAGGGTAGAAAATGTAGAAAGTAGAGGAAAAAAAAAAAAACAACTGCATCCATAATTTCAGTAGATATAAATACTCTTAAAATTTTGGCATAAGTATGGCTTTTTTTCTATGTACTTATAGTTTTTTTTCCACTTTTTGTGAAATTGAACCCTGCATTTTTTTCTCAATGTATCATTGGCTTTTTTATGTGCATTAAATATTACTTAACTATGTTCTGTATTACTGACAGTGACATTTTATGATCTATTTTTAATTTTGTGTGCCTGATCACCATTTTACAAATGAAGGGACTGATGCACATAGAAGTTATCTGATTAGGCTGGTTTGTGACTAACAGCTTAAAGTCAGATCCTTTTAGATTTTCAAACTAAAATGGTTATATTTTAAGACAATTTCTAGGACCCAGAGCTCCTTATTTTCTCTAAAATACATGTACTTATACCAAACACTGAAAGCTTGATGTCTACTCCATCTTTGACTCCTTACAGAAGTGAAATATTTATTATTGCCAGACGTGGTGGCTCATGCCTGTAATCCCAGCACTTTGGGAGGCCGAGGTGGGCGGATCACCTGAGGTCTGGAGTTCAAGACCAGCTTGACCAACATGGAGAAACTCCGTCTCTACTCAGAATACAAAATTAGCCAGGCGTGGTGGCTCATGCCTGTAATCCCAGCTACTCGGGAGGCTGCGGCAGGAGAATTGCTTGAACCCGGGAGGTGGAGGTTGCAGTGAGTTGAGATCATGCCATTGCACTCCAGCCTGGGCAACAAGAGCGAAACTCTGTCTCAAAAAAAAAAAAAAAAAAAAGTATTATTAAGGTTAGGCATTTATATATAGAAATTGGTTGAATATACTTTTTATAATAGTTCCTGATAAGTAGGATTAATTTGCCATTGTCTAAGCCTTAATGGAAAAAAAAAAAACCCAGGAAATCCATTTAGAAATTTCTAAGTGCTTTTGCCAAACTGCCACCCTAGATTACTTTTCTTACTAGTTTTTATAGTTCATTCATATTGTCTCAACATTGCTTTAATGATTTCATATATTTTTTCAGGTATGCTTATGTGGCACAATAATGATAGCCAATATTTGCTGAGCTCGTACTGTATATCAGGAACCATGCCAGATGCTTTAAACATGCTACTGGAAATTTTATTTTATTTTGAGATGGAGTTTCGCTCTTGTGGCCCAGGCTGGAGTGCACTGGTGTGATCTCAGCTCACTGCAACCTCCACCTCTCGGGTTCAAGCAATTCTCCTGCCTCAGCCTCCCAGTAGCTGGGATTACAGGCATGCACCACCACGCCTAGCTAGTTTTGTATTTTTAGTAGAGATGGGGTTTTACTATGTTGGCTGTATTTGGTCTCAAACTCCTGACCTCAGGTGATCCGCCCACCTCAGCCTCCCAAAGAGCTGGGATTACAGGCGTGAGCCACCATGCCGGCGAAACAGAAATTTTAAAACACTTGTGTCACATTGATGCTAATATTGGATTTATTGCCAAGTGTTTTTCAAACATTTAGAATATGATTATTAATTTATCGATATTTAATTATGCTATACTAGTTTGCATAACAACGCAATTGCAACATGCTATGCAAACTATTATGTATTAAATAATGTTATAAAAATAACTAAAATTTTAGTTTAGCTAAAAAATATCAAGTTGATTTTTACTGTCAGTCATTTGGTAACAGAACACTGGGTTTTAGGCCTTTAGTCCCTTATTTTATTTATTATGCATATTATACTCAATGGCTGTAGCAGGACTGAATCATCTTTTGTATACAAAATCCAAATGTATCTTATGTTATTTCATTAAGAGGCAGTTACAGGCTGGATGCAGTGGCTCATGCCCGTAATTCAGCACTTTAGGAGGCCAAAGTGGAAGGATCTCTTGAGACCAAGGTTTGAGACCAGCCTGGGCAACATGGCAAGAATCCTGTCTCTACAAAAATAAAATAAAATTTAAAAAAGAAGTAGTTTGTGTCCATATATAACAGTTGTATGTGATCTTTTAAAACATGAAAATCAAAACTTACTGAGTTGTACATTTTACATGGCTTTAGGTTTATAGTGAATTATTCTTCAGTGAAGAAAAGATCCTGAAAAGAAAAAAAATAATTTCTGAATGAGCCTGTACTTTTTTTAGACATTGGGTCCTACATTCCTTTGGATTACTTTTTGATATTCATAGGTTAATTTTGTACCATTTTACCCTTTCTTTCTTTCTTTTTTTTTGAGACAAGATCTGGCTGTGTCGCCCAGGCTGGAGTGCAGTGGTGCCATCTCCGTTCACTACAACCTCTGCCTCCTGGGCTAAAGCGATTCTCCTGCTTCAGCCTCCCCGCCACCACACGGGCTAATTTTTTGAAGAGACATGCTTTTACCGTGTTACCCAGTCTGGTTTCGAACTCATTAGCTCAAGCATTCTGCCTGCCTCTGGAAGTGTTGGGGTTACAGGCATAAGCCACCACACTTAGCTTCATCTTAACCACTTTTTTTTTTTTTTTTAACAGAGTCTCGCTCTGTCACCCAGGCTGGAGCACAGTGGTGTGATCTCTGCTCACTGCAAGCTCCGCCTCCAGGTTCACTGCATTCTCCTGCCTCAGCCTCCCAAGTAGCTGGGACCACAGGCGCTTGCCACCACGCCTGGCTAATTTTTTGTATTTTTTAGTAGAAACAGGGTTTCACCGTGTTAGCCAGGATGGTCACAATCTTCTGACCTCATGATCCTCCCGCCTTGGCCTCCCAAAGTGCTGAGATTACAGGCATGAGCCACTGGGCCTGGCCCATCTTAACCATTTTTAAGTGTAGTGTTCTATTGTGTTAAGTATATTTATGTTGTGACACAGATCTTAGAACTTTTTCCTCTTGCAGAATATAGACTTTAAATTTTATCTTATTTTATTTTTTTATTTTATTATTTTTTTGAGACAGAGTCTTGCTCTGTCACCCAGGCTGGAGTACAGTGGCGCGATCTATGCTCACTGCAACCTCCGCCTCCCAGGTTCAAGTGATTCTCCTGCCTCAGCCTCCTGAGTAGCTGGGATTACAGGCACCCGCCACTCCACCCAGCTAATTTTTGTATTTTTAGTAGAGACAGGGTTTCACCAGATTGGCCAGGCTGGTCTCGAACTCCTGACTTCAGGTGATCCACCCGCCTTGGCCTCCCAAAGTGTTGGGATTACAGACATGAGCCATGGCGCCCGGCCTATACTTTAATTTTTAAAACAATTTTAGATTTGCAGAAGAATTGAGCAGATACAGTTCCTATATTACACTCTCCCACATATGGAGTTTCCTTATTAACATTTTACATTAGTATGGTACATTTGTTAGAATTAATGAAGCAATACTGATACATTATTATTAACTTAGGATCATATGTTATTCAGATTTCCTTATTTTTTACCATATGTGTGTGTGTGTGTGTGTGTGTATATATATATATATATATATTTTTTTTTTCTCTTTTTTTCTTTTTGAGACGGTGTCTTGCTCTGTCGCCCAGGCTGGAGTGCAGTAGCATGATCTCGGCCCACTGCAAGCTCTGCCTCCCAGGTTCACGCCATTCTCCTGCCTCAGCCTCCCGAGTAGCTGGGACTACAGGCGCCCGCCACCATGCCCGGCTAATTTTTTGTATTTTTAGTAAAGACGGGGTTTCACCGTGTTAATCAGGATGGTCTTGATCTCCTGATCTCGTGATCCACCGGTCTCGGCCTCCCAAAGTGCTGGGATTACAGGCGTGAGCCACTGCGCCCAGCCTTTTTTTTTTTTTTTTTTTTTTGAGATGGAATCTCGCTCTGTCCCTCAGGCTGGAGTGCAGTGGCGTGATCTCAGCATACTGCAACCTCCACCTCCCAGATTCAATGATTCTTGTGCCTCAGCCTCCCGAGTAGCTGGGATTACAAGTGTGCGCCACCACACCCAGCTAATTTTTGTATTTTAGTTTCACCATGTTGGCCAGGCTGGTCTCAAACTCCTGACCTCAAGTGATCTGCCCGCCTTGGCCTCCCAAAGTGCCACCATTTCCAACCCGTAATGTCTTTTTTCTGTCCCAGTATCCCATCCATGATACCACGTGACACTTATTATGTCTGTTATGTCTGTTAAGCTTCTCTTGGCTTTGATACTTTCTCAAGCTCTTGTTTTTGATGACCTTGACGGTTTGAGAGATATATTTATAGGATGACCCTCTATTGGAATTTATCTGATGCTTTTCTCACAATTAGACTCTAGTTGTGGGTTTTGGGGACAAAGACCATAGAGGTAGAATGCCATTTTTAATCACATCATATCAAGGGTACATATTACCTTTTGATTACTTTTAATATGCTTTTCAGATGTATTATTTCAACGCTTTGCAAAGATTTTCATTGGCTGTCTTGCAGCGGTTACTAGTGGTATGATGTATGCTCTCTACTTATCAGCATACCATGAACGGAAATTCTGGTTTTCCAACAGGCAGGTAAGAAGAAAGAATTTTGAGCACATGAAAGTTTTTTCCCAGGGAGCCAGAATATATGTATGATAAGTATGACAAGTGCTGTCTTATTTATGGCTATTAGGAACAAAGTGCTCCAGAAGCTCTTTTGAGAATATAGTTACAGTATCAACCTTAAAATACTTAATAGTGTATTTCATAGAATAAAACTATGAGGGTGCAATTAACTTATCAGGGACTTTTGATGACAGTGAAATATTAGGGAGTTTAGCCAGCCTTTTCATAGTTTTGGTAGGTAGTTCACATTTCAGAAACAATCTGGAAGTTTTAGTATTAAAATATTTTAATTTTTAGATCACATGATTAGAATGTTTTTGAGGGAGTTGAAAGGGATTAACAGGCATCACATAGTATTAAGATTTTGCCTCATTACTGTGTTTAGTGTCTGGTTTTCAATCATATATATTTCCACAGATTCTTCAGTTGCTGTAGTTGTATTCATAATTTCATAGTTTGACTTTTGAATAAGTTTGTTTGCAAAGTCCTCTTGGCTTTGTAGAGTTTTTAAATTTTTGAGCCCAAACTGGGTTTTTTGTTGTTCTTATTTTTTAGTCAAGCTGACCAAGTATTTTAAAGCAATTGGTTTAATTAACACCATCAAGACATTTAACTGAGTAATGACTACGTCTGTCTTGATTTAGCTATTACTGTAGCATGTATTATTTCCCTGGAAATGTTATGCAGATTAACTGCAGTTCTCAACAGTGGATGTATAACAGAATCATCTAGGGAGCTTTCAAAGATAACCTCCCTCTCAGATTCTTAGGTAGAGGCAGTGGGACATGCTGCAATCAGTATGTCGATGAATATTTTTAGGTGATTATGTTGTATAGGCAGAACTGAGAATAACCAAAGCTTTGAAAATTAGAAGGCCTTCATTAAGAACTTTGTTTTACAAAGCTTTGTGTATGGGTCAGGAGCATTGGCAGAATCTGGGAGCTTTTTCAGAATCATAGACTCTTAGACTCCACTTTAAAATCAGAATCTACAGTTTAATAAGGTCTTCAGGTGTTTCATATACCCAGTAGACTTGAGAAGCACTGATTGAGAGTTTACATCTTTGAAATCTTAGAAACAAATGTTTGCATTCATAAAACAAAATTTTAAGTAATTTGTTTAGGTCAGGAAGCTCTTAGTTCATTCAGACTGCTATAACAAAGTACCATAAGCTTATAAACAACAGAATGGCTTATAAGCAGCAGAAATTTATTTCTCACAGTTCTGGATGCTGAGAAGTCCTAGATAAGGCATGGGCAGATTTGATGTCTGGTGAGGGCTTGCTTCCTGGTTTATAGCAGGGATCATCTTGCTGCATCCTCACATGGTGGAAGGAGCAAGGGATCTCTGTGGGGCCTCTTTTATAAGGACATTAATCCCATTCATGAGGGAACTGCCCTCATGACCTAATCACCTCCCAGATATCCCACTTCCAAATATCTTCTCATTGGGTGTTAGGTTTCAGCATATGTATTTTAGGAGGACACATATATTCAGACCATAGCAAACTCAAGATGGGGAAAAATAGATCTGAAAAGACTTCCTCTTGGAGAGTCACAATATATAAGATATACTGAAACTCTGAAAAGTCTTATAATAAAGCTATTTAACTTTGTTTAATCTAGTCTTTCTCAGAACTTATTTAACTACAGAATTCTTTTTTGGTAACATCCGTTAACATTTTAGGAAATTCTGTTGATCAAACTTTGTGAAAAGTCCTCTAATATCTTTTGTTTTTGTATTAATTGATACATATTATGCATAAAAATAATTCATTTGATTTTAAAAGATTATAGATTCATAAAATTTTGATTCAGTCTAAAAAGCACAAGGCCTTCTAATGTTATTTTTACTATTATATTCTTAATTCTAATTAGCCTGATTGTAGGAATTTTAAGATTTGCTGTACCTCTGGAAGTTCATGTGTAGAGTACTGATTAAGTATCTGGTGCTCTTGCAAAGTACTAATTGAACACTTGCTGTTCTGGATACATAGAGATGTGGAACAGTGATAGAAAATATGACTTTCTCCTTAAACTTGTCTTTTTATTATGGAGTTCTAACACTTCAACTATTGTTCGTTATTGCCTGTCTTACTATTCTTGCTATTCTTAGGGCATGTCTTGTGGTTTTCCTTCTAGATTTTCCTGATATATATTATATATAACAAGTGATGACTTGTGATTTACAATTCATTTTAAACCTTAATGTTTCATTAAAATTATTGCCAGATTACTAAAAAGTTAAGTTCCTCATTAATGGAGCCACTAGTAATTAAAGAAAATTCATGTCTTTGAATAAAAGGATAAATATTATTAATATGTTAATTTGGAAGGTGAGAATTTGGAAGGTGAGAAGGAAGACAGAAGATTGAGGCTGAAATTTATTTTATTTTATTATTACTGTTATTATTTTTGGAGACAGAGTCTCGCTCTGTGTCCCAGTCTGCAGTGCAGTGGTGTGATCTCAGCTCACTGCAACCTTTGCCTCCTGGGTTCAAGCGATTCTCCCACCTCCCGAGTAGCTGGGGTTACAGGCACACACCACGACGCCTGGCTAATTTTTGTATTTTTAGTAGAGACAGGGTTTCACCATGTTAGCCAGGCTATTCTCAAACTCCTGACCTCAAGTGATCCACCCGCTTCGGCCTCTGAAAGTGCTGGGATTACAGGCGTGAGCCACCACGCTGGGCCAGAGGCTGAAATTGAAAACTTCAGAAAATCCAGCCTAGACAACATTGTGAGACCCCCTTCTTTACAAAAAAACAAAAAAAAAACGTCGGCCATGTGCCTGTAGTCCTAGCTACTGGGTAGGCTGAGGTGGGAGGATCATTTGAGGTTTCAGTGAGCCATGAGTGTGCCTTTGCACACCAGCCTGGGTAACAGAGAGAGACTCCATCTCTTGAAAAGCAAAAATAATTAAATCTTAGGGCCAGGCGCGGTAGCTCATACCTGTAATCCCGGCACTTTGTGAGGCCAAGGTGGGCGGATCATGAGGTCTGGAGATGGAGACCATCCTGACTAACACAGTGAAACCCTGTCTCTACTGAAAATACAAAAAAATAGCCGGGCGTGGTGGCGGGCGCCTGTGGTCCCAGCTACTTGGAGGCTGAGGCAGGAGAATGGCGTGAACCCAGGAGGCGGAGCTTGCAGTGAGCCGAGATTGCACCACTACACTCCAGCCTGGGCGACAGAGCAAGACTCTGTCTCAAAAAAAAAAAAAAAGAAAAAAATCAAATTTTAAATAACTATTTCATTTTCTTTTAGGAGCTTGAACGGGAAATCACGTTTCAGGGTGACAGTGCCATTTATTACTCCTATTATAAAGATATGTTAAAGGCACCTTCATTTGAAAGAGGTATGATAACCACAGTTACATTTTTAATAACAATATTTTCCTTTTTCTTTTCTTTTCTTTTCTTTTTTTCCCCAAGATGGAGTCTTGCTTTGTCACCCAGGCTGGAGTGCAGTGGTGCGATCTTGGCTTACTGCAGACTCCACCTCCCGGGTTCAAGCAATTCTCCTGCCTCAGCCTCCTGAGTAGCTGGGATTAAAGGCGCATGCCACCATGCCCGGCTAATTTTTGTATACTTAGTAGAGACGGGGTTTCACCATGTTGGCCAGGCTGATCTCGATCTCCTGACCTCATGATCCGCCTGCCTTGGCCTCCCAAAATGCTGGGATTACAGGTGTGAGCCACCGTGCCTGGCCATAATGTCAACATTTTTCTTAAATAAAACATTGTTCTTCTATTTTAGAACCTTTCCTCCTCCTCTTATTTTTACTCGACATGTAGTAATTGTGCATATTTATGGGGAGTGATATTTTCATATTATACACAATGTATAATCATTAAATCAGAGTAGTTAGCGTATCCATCACATTGGACATATGTCACTTCCTTGTGTTATGAATATCCAAAATCGACTCTCAGCTTTTTGAAAATATACGCTAAATTGTTGTTAACCATATTCATTCTATAGTACTACAGAATACTAGAAGTTATTTTTCCTATCTAGCTGTAATTTTGTATCCATTAACCAATCTCTCCCTATCCTCCCCTCCCCTCTGCTCTTCCCAGCCTCTAATAATCTCTGTTCTACTATATTGGGACCTTTCATGTGGGGATTTGTCTCAGAATATAGATATTTCTCTTTATTGTGCTAAATTGTTAAAAATTGGAAAATGCAGTATGGAGTATTCTATTTGGGATCTTTCTTGATAATAATATTAAATATTTAAGGACTAATGAATGACATTTTTAATTACTGTGAAACAGAATAAATAATCTGGAGAAAAATCTTTCTGTCTTTAGGTGTTTATGAACTGACACACAATAACAAAACTGTATCTCTGAAGACTATAAATGCAGTGCAGCAAATGTCTCTATATCCGGAACTTATTGCTAGCATTTTATATCAAGCCACTGGGAGCAATGTATGTATTTTTCTTTGGACCCTATTATTTATTTTCTCATGTAGTCATGAATCCTCGAATTATTTAATGCCATCCTATTATCTTGTTCTCTTTCTGTTTTTTCCACATAGGAGATTATTGAGCCAGTGTATTTCTATATTGGCATTGTTTTTGGATTGCAAGGAATATATGTTACTGCTTTATTTGTTACAAGTTGGCTTATGAGTGGAACGTGGCTAGCAGGAATGCTTACTGTTGCATGGTTCATTATTAACAGGTAAGAAAGCTGTTTTAATTGATTTTTAAAAACTTTTTGTGACTGTAGTAGTCAGAGTTCTGAAAATGCCTCCCCTCCCCAACATTCCTCACTCTAATTCTCAGAACCTATGAATATGATGAGATGCCATTCCCATGATTATAATACTTTATATAGCACATTAGACAGATTGGAAAGATTACCCTGTGGGCCTGGTCTAATCACGTGAGCCCTTAAAACCAAAGTGCTTTCTCCAGCCTGTGTAGAAAGAGAGGTCAGAGAGATTTGAGGTATGAGAAGGATTTTCTGCACCACTGCAGGTATGAAGCAAGGAGGAAATGAATTCTGCTAGTAGCCAATGAGATTGTAAGAGGACTATAAGCCCCTGATGAAAACTGTAGCCCTGGCTGATGCCTTGATTTTAGCTTAGGGATGCTAAGCAGAGCATCCAGCCATACTCTGCTGGCCTTTGTGAGATAATACATTTGTGTTGTTTTATGCCACTACATGCAAAAATTGAGACATAATATACCAGCATATTCTTTTGGATCTTTCTCTTTTTTTTAATTCATCCTAATCCTTAGAATCTGAATTTTGGGTCTTCTTCTAGGTGAATGTGTGTGTATATTCATCTATGTATTTGTATATGTATTTTTTACTAAAATCAGTAATTTACCAAAAAAAAAAAAAAAACTGTTTTTTTTTGTTTTGTTTTGTTTTTTTGAGATGGAGTCTTGCTCTGTCACCCAGGCTGGAGTGCAGTGGCGCGATCTCAGCTCACTGCAAGCTCCACCTCCTGGGTTCCCGCCATTCTCTTGCCTCAGCCTCCGGAGTAGCTGGGACTACAGGCGCCCGCCACCAAGCCTGGCTAATTTTTTTGTGTTTTTAGTAGAGATGGGGTTTCACTATCTTGGCCAGGATGGTCTCGATCTCCTGACCTCGTGATCCACCCGCCTTGGCCTCCCAGAGTGCTGGGATTACCGGTGTGAGCCACTGCGCCTGGCTGCAATACTTTTTTTTTTTTAATGCTGCTTTCTCTGTTCAACTGTCACTGCCTTTACATTCAGTAATATTTTATCTTATCTAATACCCGACCTTATTACAGTTTCCCTGGTTGACCCTGAAATACTCTATATACCTGATTTATGCAAATCAGGATTTAATCCGGGACTCCATAGTGCATCTGGTTGTTCTGTTCCTTGATACTCTAAATCTAACATAGTCCCCCTTTTTATGTTGAAGAGACTAAGTCTTGTTGCATCCTGTGGTGTCATTTAGCTTTTACCTTTATCTCCTGTGTTTCTGTCATCTGGAAATTATATGTAAAGGCTTGATGGGTTCAAAATAAACAGTTCTGGTTGAAATATATGCTAGATTATATATTTTTCATGTTCCATGACAGTAGAAGTTATATTTAATTGATCAACCCCTAGTGAAGCTGAGACTGACTGCTGGTTTGGGGGAATGGCAGTCTGATCTCTCCATTGAATAGTTATGTTTTTCTCTAATAACTGGAGAATAATCTGTGTGGTGTTTTTTAGCACCAAATGAATGTCCTTTTTGCCATTAAGCATTTACCTAATAGTTGTAACACCAGTTTATAACCTTTGCCTTAAAGTAATAATTTTATTAGGGTTTATAAAATTGTATTTTTCTATTTTCATTAGCTACATTCTTCATTCTTCAAAAGTAGAATTTTTCTTCATTAACCAGGGCTTTTTGGTTACTTTAAAAAATTTTTTTTTTCCCTTTGAGATGAAGTCTCGCTCTGTAGCCCAGGCTGGAGTGCAGTGGCGCCATCTTGGCTCACTGCAAGCTCCGCCTCCCGAGTTCACGCGATTCTCCTGCCTCAGCCTCCTGAACAGCTGGGACTACAGGTGCTGCCACCACGCCCGGCTAATTTTTTGTATTTTTCGTAGAGACGAGGTTTCACCATGGTCTCAATCTCCTGACCTCGTGATCCACCCGCCTCGGCTTCCCAAAGTGCTGGGATTACAAGCGTGAGCCGCCGCGCCCGGCCGGTTACCTTCAAATTTAGTCACTGTTAGAAAGTGAGGACAAATGCTTAATTTCAATTTACCAAGTTCTAAATAAGAGATTAATTTAATAGCTTTCCCAGATAGTGACAAAAACCTTTGATTCTGGTGTTCTCTTTTCTAAGCATCTTTCTGTACTTACGGATTTTTATTGATTCAGTGATTCATTTTAATTCATTTCATTGATTCAGTCCATTATGATCAATGTTCTTCTGTTGCTCAAATTGTCACAACCTTGGTTAATAGGAGTACCTTTCAGGCTGGCTCCTGAGTTCTTTTTACACAACTTAGTTAGTCTTTGAAAGCTTTCTTGTTTTCTGGCTCAACAAGGTGAGTAGGTTTGCAGTTTTGCTGCAGAAGATTTGTAAACAGCCATTTCTCATTGGCGCTTTGGTTCCTTTTAGTATAGAAAATCCAGTCTGGCAAGTAGGAGGACAAGATGATTTTTTGTTATGTCAGAAAGTGCCTGTTAGAGGACATTTTGAGTTGCTGTGTACTTTTCTAAAATTCTATTAAGATTTATTTTTAGAAAGAAAGTTATAATAATACTCATAGACTAGGTTTAGAAAGTCTTATATTTTATGGCTGGGCGCAGTGGCTCTTGCTTGTAATCCCAGCACTTTGGGAGGCCGAGGTGGGCGGATCACGAGGTCAGAAGATTGAGACCATTCTGGCTAACACGGTGAAACCCCATCTCTACTAAAAATGCAAAAAATTAGCAGGATGTGGTGGCAGGTGCCTGTAGTCCCAGCTACTCAGGAGACTGAGGCAGGAGAATGGCGTGAACCTGGGAGACAGAGCTTGCAGCAAGCCGAGATCTCGCCATGCACTCCAGCCTGGGTGACAGAGCAAGACTCCGTCTCAAAAAAAAAAAGAAAGTCTTATATTTTATTTTATTTTTTTAGTTTTATTTTGAGACAGAGCCTATATTTTATTTATTCATTTTCTTACTTTTATTTTGAGACAGAGTCTCACTCTGTTGCTCAGGCTTGGAGTACAATGGCACAATCGCGGCTCACTGCACCCTCTGGCTTATGGATGCAGTGATTCTCCCACTTCAGCCTCCCCAGTAGCTGGGACTACAGGCACATGCCACCATGCCTGGCTAATTTTTTTTTTTTTTTTTTTGAGATGGAGTCTTTCTGTTGCCCAGGCTGGAGTGCAGTGGCGCCATCTTGGCTCACTGCAACCTCCGCCTCCCAGGTTGAAGCAGTTCTCCTGCCTCAGCCTCCCAAGTAGCTGGGATTGCAGGCACATACCACAATACCCAGCTATTTTTTTTGTATTTTTAGTAGAGATGGGGTTTCACCATATTGGCCAGGCTGTTCTTGAACTTCTGACCTCAACTGATCCGCCACCTCGGCCTCCCAAAGTGCTGGGATTACAGCCGTGAGCCACCGCGCCCAGCTAATGCCTGACTAATTTTTATTTTTTTTGGTAAAGTCGCAGTTTCACCATGTTTCCCAGGCTGGTCTCAAACTCCTGACCTCAGGTGATCCGCCTGCCTTGGCTTCCCAAAGTGCTGAGATTACAGGCATGAGCCACCATGCCCCACCAAAAGTCTTTTATTTTATTTTATTTAGTTATGTTTTGAGATGGATTCTTGCTCCTGTCGCCCAGGCTGGAGTGCAGTGGCACGATCTCAGCTCACTGCAACCTCTGCCCTCTAGGTTCAAGTGATTCTCCTGACTCAGCCTCCTGAGTAGCTGGGATTACAGGTGCCCGCCACCACGCCCAGCTAATTTTTGTATTTTTAGTAGAGATGGGGTTTCGCTTTGTTGGCCAGGCTGGTCTTGAACTCCTGACCTCAAGTGATCCACCCGCCTCAGCCTCCCAAAGTGCCGGGATTACAGATGTGAGCCACTCTGCTTGGCCAATTCTTGTATTTTAAAGTGAAGTGGGGCCAGGTGCAGTGGCTCACATCTATAATTCTAGCACTTTGGGAGGCCCAGGTAGGAGGATCACATGAGACCTGAAGTTTGAGACCTGTCTGGGCAACATAGTGAGACCTCATCATCTCCACTTAAAAAAAAAAATAGCCAGGCTTGGTGGTGTTTGCCTGCAATCCCAGCTACTTGGGAAGCTGAGGCAGTAGGATCACTTAAGCCTGAGGCTGCAGTGAGCTATTGACTGTGCCACTACACTTCAGCCTGTGTGACAGAGAGAGACCCTGTCTCAAAACTAAATGAATGAATGAAGTGATATTTAATACAAATGATTATTGTATTATTTAAAATACAGACTTTCTAGCCGGGCGCGGTGGCTCACACCTGTAATCCCAGCACTTTGGGAGGCCGAGACAGGTGGATCACAAGGTCAGAAGATCAAGACCATCCTGGCTAACATGGTGAAACCCCGTCTCTACTAAAAATACAAAAAATTAGCCAGGCATGGTGGCATACGCCTGTAGTCCCAGCTACTCGGGAGGCTGAGGCAGGAGAATAGCATGAACCCGGGAGGCAGAGCTTGCAGTGAGCCGAGATCATGCCACTGCGCTCCAACCTGGGTAACAGAGCAAGACTCTGTCTCAAGAAAAATAAATAATTAAAAAATAAAAAATAAAATAAAATAAATACAGACTTTCTAAAAGGATTGCTTTCTTGTCTGGGTGCAGTGGCTCATGCCTGTAATCCCAGCATTTAGGGAGGTTGAGGCGGATGGATCACTTGAGGCTGGGAGTTCAAGACCAGCCTTGCCAACAAGGTGAAACCCTGTCTCCACTAAAAATAAAAAAATTAGCCAGATGTGGTGGCGGGTGCTTGTAGTCCCAGCTACTCCGGAGTCTGAGGCAGGAGAAATGCTTCAACTTGAGAGGCAGAGGCTGCAGTGAGCTGAGATCACGCCACTGCACTCCAGCCAGGGTGACAGAGTGAGAGTCTGTTTCAAAATAAATAAAAATAAAAGGATTGCTTTTTTGATTGTGTGATGTATTAGTTATTGCTGCATAACGGATCACCCGAAATTTAACAGCTTAAAACAACAAAC